ACACACACACACACACACACACACACACCACACACATACAACACACACATACATGCACATATGTTCTTAAATATAACTGACAAAGTTCATATTGCTACCAGAATATTTATATGCTGGTACTGGGCAACCAGTTGGTTGGTCTTCCCTGATTTCCATTTTCAGATTTCTTCAGTTGCCTGTAGTTCTTTATTTCTTTGTGTAGTGTTGAGTCCTTGTGGGCTTTTCTTTAAATGTCATAATTTTGTAAACCATATGATAGGAGATTATCACTAAGCATAAAGTTCATAATGTAGATTAATATCTCAGTTTATTATACACTGTAGAATTAGATTGTTATTAATAATAAAATTGCTGTTATTCAGAAGTAGCACACCCAATTCTTTACCACAGCATGTTCCGAGTTAGTGCAAACTTCGTTAACTCATTCTCTAACCCCCAAGATAGCATTATAAAAGACAGAGCAATTATAATGACTATTGTCTCAAGCCAATCTTTCTGAGTTTGAGATTCATCTCAAGTTATCAGGTTTGTAAGTGTTTAGACAATTTGAAGCATTCTCTGCAGCAATGATGTCATCCTTTGAAGTGTACTGGGGAAAATGCCTTTGTAGCTCTGTTTCTTTGGAAACATTAATGAGTTTATAAGCACTTCTGATGCTAACTTGACAGCAAGTGTTATATCAGTGTGGAATAATGAATTTTCCCCTTGGCCAGCCATTCTGGAAGATAAGAATTAACCCTATAATTTGGTTTCTTTTAATATTGTGACAAACAATTTATGGAGAAACAACAATTTTGGTATACAGAAAACCATTAGCAACATTTAAAATAACAAAGATATTATAAGGATTTCTAGATGACATTATATTTTATTAGTATGGTTTAAATTTATATTAAAAATTACAACTGACCCAATTTATCTTACTAGGTCATTGATCTGGGTGGTGAGGCAATTAAAAGTAGTGAGTACTTTGGAAATGGTCGTGTGACAGAATTCAAGTATGGAGCAAAACTTGGCACAGTTATCCGAAAGTGGAATGGAGAGAAGATGGCTTATTTAAAGTAAATATACATCAATTCTTCATTTGATCTGTCATAGATCTTTTGCCATTTGACGTCAATAAGTTATATCTTCAAATATTCTATTTTAAACAACTATGACATTGCTGATTATTAGGCTTTTACTATTTCTAAACTCCCACCTAATTATCTTTTCCATTTGGGATGTCAATCGAAAGGTAGCCCTAGAAATCCAAACTATCACTTAATGATTTTTGTCCATTTGTGATAAGTCTCTTAGGTTCCAGGAATGTTTACCTATGGTCTATTAAAGCTAGGTTATTATTTTAAAAATGATTATATTCATAAATGATATTAATAATGTAGTCAAGTATGAAATTTACATGTTATATCAAATAATTAATTGGAAAATTTGAATGTGCGTATTATGACAGCACAGTAGATTTCCATTCTATCAGTGTAAAATGGATGTTTTATTTCTCAAATCCTTAAAATTACAATACAATGAAAAACTTAAAGAAAAAATTAAGAACAAAAAGATTGTATTGTAAGACTTAAATGAGGTTATACATTATAGAAAATGATATTGTATGTGTCATATGTACATATGTACATGTAAGTTACACTTCTTATAGAATTGTCATTGATTTAGGTAATTGAGGATACAATATGAAAAGTAAATCTAGGTGTCATGAAAGAATAATATACATTTTTTTAAATATAGGAACTGGGGAGAAGGCTGGGGTTTTGTGCCTTCTGACAGAGCCCTTGTGTTTGTGGACAACCATGACAACCAGCGAGGACATGGGGCTGGAGGAGCATCCATCCTGACATTCTGGGATGCTAGGTGAGAGAACTTTCTTTGCTGTTATGTAACCTGCCTTAAATAGCAGCATTATATCATACACTTTTGCTTTAATAACATTTTGAAACTTTCAGAATGTATAAAATGGCTGTTGGATTTATGTTGGCGCATCCTTATGGATTCACACGAGTAATGTCAAGTTACCGTTGGGCAAGAAACTTCCAGAATGGAAAAGTAAGTCTTCAAGTTCTTCAAAGCATATTTTAGTCTAGAAAAGGAAGAGGTTCTGTTTTAACTTCGCATGAAGTTATAGCATATGATAGTTATTATTTTGTGTTTATTTGCCAAGGTTTGTAAAACAAGGACATTGAAAATGTAACTGATAGTAAAAGCAGTAGTTTAAGTGAGAGAAAGGGACAGAATAAAAAGAGGTATGAATGATAAAGCCCTGATACATAAAGTTAATATGGAATCATGCCTGTTAACACTGAATAAAATTTCAAGCTCTTTCTCCCCATGGAACAATCAATGTTAGCATTTAAAATATTTTATTTTTCCTGTGGAATAAGAAGGAAGCTTATTTGAGGGAAATGAAGGAATATAATTTATGAGAATTACAGAAGAGTGAGTTGCTGGGGAGACTATAAACAATATGTGTTTATAGAATTATAAACAATATGAGTTGTTGGTTAGGTGTGTAAGTTTAAACAGTTTCAGAACTAATTTAAGAAAAAAAGAACATTTGAAAGACTATGCAAATTTTCCTTTTTCAATGCAAGAATCTAGAATGATAGAGAAACATCAAATATAAAATAGAAATGTTTCTTCATTAGACATCTGGCAAATGTTTTTTTTTTCTGTTTTATATTCAAGGTGAGTTTTTCTCTGATTCTATTGAAATTTGTTCTATTACTGAAGAGTTTTCATGCTTAGAATGAGCCTTTCCCTTTTTCAGACATGTATTTAACATTTAGCCACCATCAAATTGTTTTTATACTTTGTTAATCTTACCCACATGTAGTAAGAAATCAACTAATATTGCTGTAGTGGAAAGAAATGGGCAGATACAAGCATTCAAATGACCTGATTATTTCAATAATTAAGGATGTGAATGACTGGATTGGACCACCTAATAACAATGGAGTCACAAAAGAAGTGACCATTAATCCCGACACCACTTGTGGCAATGACTGGGTCTGTGAACATCGATGGCGTCAAATAAGGTGGGAATTTCCCTACAGATCTTCTCTCACAAAAAAAAGTTGTTTAACTTTTTGTTTAAAATTGTTGAAGTTTAAAGTCAGCAGCATTTCATATGATATTGTGCTTTTAGGAACATGGTTGCCTTCAGAAATGTAGTCAGTGGCCAGCCTTTCTCAAACTGGTGGGATAATGGCAGCAACCAAGTAGCTTTTGGCAGAGGAAACAGAGGATTCATTGTCTTTAACAATGATGACTGGTAAGTGGATATCAATTAAAGTAGGATTGTATACTCTTGTATACATAGATTTTCTTTTCTTTTCTTATTTATTTAATTTTTCATATGTGAAAAAATGTTTTATGCCAGAAAATAAAAGTTCAGGGTACAGAAGAAAAATGCTATTTGATTACATATTTTCCTTTTTTAAATATAATTTTGTTTTTGATATCTTTTACTATACCTTACAATGAAAGTAGCATATATTCATGGTTGCAGGCTCATTTTACACATTTCACAAAGCATATAAAGAGTAAATATAAGACTTAACATCATTAAACAATGTACCATATTAGTACTGGAGTACTTTCCCAATTCCTTTGAATAGCTCTTATTATTTATCCATTATACATATGCAGTCTTCAATGTTCTATGTCTTTGTTTTAAATATTTTAAAATATATGTATACTTGCATCTGGTAAATGAGTGTCTTCAAGAAGTTGCTAAGTTTGTTCTTTAAAACTTTCATTGTTGTCTTTCACTTTGGTTCTTTAATCTGAGTCTTCTTTTATGGTTCCCTCATCTGTAATTTCCTAGCTCAGATATCAGGAGTGGCAGGCAAAACCTTTAATCCTAGTACTCAGCAGGCAAAGGCATCCATTTCCTGAGTTTGAGGCAAGCTAGGTTGCATAGTGAGTTTCAGGAAAGCCAGGGCTGTGTAGAGAGACCCTGTCTCTCAAAACAAAACAAAACAAAACAAAACAAAACAAATAGGAAAGTAACTCTTGCTCAGAGAATCTCTCTGAGAGCAGGTGAGCTGTCTCAACACAAAATCAGTTTCCAATCAGGTTGAGAATATTTTTCCAGAAGTTGTATTTTATTGGTTGAAGACAAAATATTTGAGGTATGTAATTTTTTTGAAAGAACACATGGCTAGTTGTTTAGGAACACTGGAATTACTTTATACCGTTTCCCACTACAAACTTGTATGTATTCATAGAAAGGCTAGGTACTATTTAATTCTAGAAAAAAGAATCTTGCAGCATCATGAATCTAATAACTTTGGAAAAAAGATGCTATTAACTTATTTTGTAGTCATCACTTTATATTAAGTAGAACATGGACTTCCCAGAATGGTGACCGTCACAGGAGGCCTTTACTTCTGAATTTCAGTGGGTTTGCTAGCCTTCTTTTTCTGGTAGCAGTCACCACAGGCCATAGAACTAACAGAGATTTAAAATAATGCCTCTGGTCTGGAGAATTCTCTTGCTCTCCCACTTGAAGTCTTGGTATTTCGATTCCCATACTGAGGCTCTGAGGACCTTGTGTTCTGTAGCACAAGGCTGAGGCATTTACTGTTTTATTGATAATGGATATTCCTTCACCTGACTGGGTTGAATTTAAATTAAATACTACTTTTTTTTCCAGGTCTTTGTCAACAACCTTACAGACTGGTCTTCCTGCTGGCACATACTGTGATGTCATTTCTGGAGACAAGGTTGATGGCAATTGCACTGGAATTAAAGTCAATGTTGGCAATGATGGCAATGCTCACTTTTCCATTAGTAACTCTGCTGAAGATCCGTTTATTGCAATCCATGCTGAATCAAAATTGTAAGAGTCAAATAAAATACATATAATGTATCAACTGAGTGCATTTCTTTTTCATTTGTGACTTATTTTTATTTTTCTCTTCTTGATTATTATCTGTGCATGTGTGATGTGTATATATGAGCAATGGAACAATGCAGAATGTTTGAACAACCCTGTGCTTTGGCTTTGCCTCTATGCTTTTGCCCATGTGCTGTGGGATCACACGTGTGATCAGGCTTTTTAGGAAAGCTGCTGAGCAATGTTGCAAACTCATAAATACCTTAATTTTTAGAGTTTCTCTCCTTTTATTACAAGCCATAAATAATCAACTTGAATAGGCAAAATCATAAAACTCACATATAATCATTAGAAAACAATATCCAAAATTTACTATGTATTAGCAGCAAGTCTAGATTTTTTCAAAGAAATTTCTTAGAAATCTGAATTATATCCTGACAAATATATTGCTTTACCATTAATGTAATTTCCACCATGTACTTATAGATATTTCATGAAAATTATGTTTAATAAAATTCTCTCACAACATAATAACTTATTAAAATGCCTTGGCTGCTTGGAAATGCATCATTGTTTAATTTTATATAGTTATCACTGTCTTCAAATTTCTCTTATAAATAGTTATTTCAGGAAAAATTAATTGTTCCTAATTCTACAGAGAGAGACAGAGACAGTCAGACAGACAGGCAGACAGACAGACAGACAGACAGACAGACACACACACACACACACACACACACACACACACAGAGGAGAGTCATAATGTGTGTTGATCATACATCAACATGCCGTAATATTCACTTATCACCTTCTACCTACCATATTTCCCTTCACTTTAAAGCAACCCATCCATGCACACATATATTCAAGTCTTTTTGTTGAGATCTGCCAATTAAGTACAATGCCTTCATGAATTAGAGTGGGAAGTTATTTACTTGACAAAAACAAGTTACCTGTGCTTATCCCACTGAAGATTATGACTCCACATTCCCCAGCAATACTAACAGCTAACAGTCATTCATGAAGTCTTGGAATGTTATAGCTATTGCCTGAATCACAGTAGAACTTTGAAGTCCCCTTTGTTCTGTGGGACTTGTGCAGGAAACACTACATTGTGAATGCATGGGAGACACAGTTACATCATGGACAGATCACTAGTTTTCACAGTACACCTTTCCATTCTCTGGCTCATTCATCATCATTTCCTTGATCTCTGATTTTGCCTGGAAATGTTTATAGACAAGTTTCTTTTAAGGGTGAATAATCAGTAGTCACTTATTTTTGCAGTTTGAACACTCATGACTCTCAGAATTCACTTTCATCAACTACAAACATAAGCTTCAATGACCAAAGCTGAGTAATATTATAAGTCAGACCTTTCATTTCCCATGTATTAAGTCCTTTTTATGCTTCTCACTTAGTTTCAAAAGTTGGTGTTCCACTGGAGAGTGGTAGACTTTCTTGGACAACATGGAAGAGGAAAATTGGCTCCCCAGCAGCTTTTATTTGCCTGAAAATTCAGCCTCCATTGTATACATAAGAAACATTTAGAAGGAAATTGGATACTATGCCCATTTGATGAAACAATAGTACTATATTGCCCCTAGCTCTTCTAATTTTAATAATCATGATCTCATAGCCACAATCAAAAGTCCTGCTATGAATCATGTCAAAAATTGAATCACAAAGCTATTAGTTACCTCTGTAGCAGTTATGCAGCGATTGTACCAGAGTAAATGATTTTTTAATTAAACTATGAATACAGAATTTCCCCCATTTCCACTGCTCTTGAAGTCTTGATTTTTTCTTAAACTTTTGAATATATATATATATATATATGTGTGTGTGTGTGTGTGTGTGTGTGTGTGTGTGTGTGTGTACTTCTGTACTTATATACATAAGCACAACCTGCTTTATTTTTATAAACCTACTTGTTCTCTAAAAGCCTTGACCATATTACACTTGCATAAATGGATAGGCTTCCTATACCAGGCATAATTTCCCTCTAGAAGAGCAGCCATAAAATTAGTTTCTGTGCACATCTTGCTTTACACTTTGCTATTTCTGCTCACAATATGTAAAGTATGTTAAATTCTTAGGGATTTTGGTCTCTCCTACACCGCAGTCAGTAAAGAACTGTCCAACAATATGTATGGTAGTCAGCAAAGAAGATGTTTCAAGCTCAATTCTAGTTTTATTTACTTGTGTATTATATCTATATCTAAATCATGCTGTTTTCAGTAACATCTTGCTAGTTAATTCTCATAGATAAACGAGACCAATTGAACTAGCCTGTAGCTCTTTGTGAATTCTTTGGGATATAGTTAATCAAGTGATTGTATGGGATTATGTCATGTTTGGTGCTCATCTTTGTTTAATATTATGATGCTTTTTGCAACTGTATTATCCAGTTAATAAAGTAGAATATTTCCCTTCAAACTCTGTTTATCGGTTTTTTTTTTTAAATCAAATAGCTAACAAAGTAGTGGATTTTCATATGGCGTTTTTCATCCATGTGTTGTTTGGTTAATCCTCCTCAACCACATTCAAATCATCATCCACTGATCCTCATACTTGGGCCACCCTTTCTACCCTATTGCTCGTTTACTCTCATAGCACATGTATTGTACATACACGTTGTTATGCCCCATTTTCTGTGTCTCTTTAATGCTCCCTCTCTTGCTTTTTGATCTTTTTTATAGACTTCAGTTTACACACAAAAAATCTAAAGTGTTTGAAAACAAGATTCTCATGAGAGATTACATACAACAGCTGTCTGTCTCAGCCCAGGGTACCTCACTATTATATTTTCAAGTTCTACCAATCTCGGACGTAATATTTCAAATTTATTTTTTTATATTTGAATATAACTCCATTGTATGTTTGTAACAAATTCTCATCATTATTTTCTCAATAGGTGGTTATCTAGTGTTTATTCTATTTCCTAGGCATTTGCGATAGAGTAAAATACAATGTGGTTGTTCAAATATTTTTCTTCAGTTGCATATGGAGTCTGCTAGGCTTATGTCTTACAGTATTACAGGTAAGGCATGTGGTGGTTCAGATTTTATTATTTATTTATTTATTTAGTTTTTTTGAGAAAGGGTTTCTCTCATGTAGCTTTGGAGTCTGTCTTGGAACTTGTTTTGTAGACCAGGCTAGCCTGGAACTCACAGAGATTCCCCTGCCTTTGGCTCCGAAGTGCTGAGATTAAAGGTGTATGCCACCACCATCTGACTCAGATTTTATTTTTTGAGAAACCTCCACATTGATTTACATAGTGGACATTTCTTTTGACATTCCTCTCAATGGTGAGGAAATTTTGAGTTCTCCTCTCTTCATAATAATGGTGGCATTTGTTATTATTTATTTTCTTGGTGTTAGCTATTCTGCTGGTAGTGAGATAGAACTTAAAGGTATTTGTAATTTGCATTCCCTTATAGGTATGTGTGTTGAACACTTTTAAAATGTATTTATTTCCCTTTTAATTCTTATTTTTACAACATAATGCTTATCTCCATATCTCATTTTATCATATATATATATGTATATATATAATATATATATATATATATATATATAATTATTTTCCTCATTTATCTTCTTCCTCTAATCTCTACTCTGGTCCATCTCTTTGGTTGCTCTCATTTTACCACTTACTGCAAGTTTTGAAACTTTTTTTATTATTATTATCATCATCGTGGTCATCATCATCATCATATTAACAATGTGTTTGAAAGATTTGAATTGGATCTGATCTTTATTGAGGTCTAGTTTACATAGAACCTGAAGGTGCTAAGCATGCTGACAAGTGGTAGAAACAACCAAAAGTCCTGCTTAGCCTTTATGCTAACACAACAATGGCAACAATACCAAGATTGCTTTACCATGTAATAGTGTTGATCATATCTTAGCAGTAACCACCAACTCTCTAACTGGACTTGAGGCTCACTACACAGGAAGAAAATCATAACTTGTTCTGAGATCCTACCTAACTACCCAGGGCAAGTGAGGCTATGAACTTGAGAGAACATACCACTACCATCCTACTAGACCAGCATTCCAAAATGCTTATAAATACTTATCCTTATATAAAAAGGCATGTGTAGATCTCACTCCCCATAAGAAAAGCTTCTCTTTTTAACTGACAGGCTATTGTGGAAAATCCTAGCTGACAAAAGTACAGAGATGAACTGATTGATATGTCCAACCCCACTTGATAGTTCTATAACACTAGTCCTTTAGGCTTAGGGAAGATCACAGGAGAGGGGGCAGAAAGATTTTAAGTGCCATATGACCAGAATGTGTACTGTGAGACTGTGTTTCCTAGAAATGACATGGAAGCTTCCCCTGTGATACCTCAAACATATCACAGCTTAATCAAGACCTAAACAGGTACATTGTAAATAGACATGCTAAAGTATTGTGGGGGGGGAGGACCTCATAAGAGTCTTCACCCCCATACAAATCACTAGAAAAAACTGAAGACTGATGAGAGTGGGAGAATTAGTTTTTCCCAGGAATCAGCCCATTTTGCTCATTTGTTACTAAGTGTTCAGTATGGAAACCATATACATACAAGCCACATTACATAGATTCAGCAAGTTGTATTTATACATCCATAGTCTATTGTTGAAAAAATATGCTGATTATTTGAGGCTGAGCTTGTTGGCACACTCTTGTAATTTCATCATTTGGGAATGGATGCTGAAACTGGCAGATATCTGTGAGTTTGTGTATATCCTATTATACATTCAAAGCTCCAGGTCAGTCATGGGTATACGGTAAGACCTTGCCCCCGTAAATCAATAAAATAAAATATGGTATTTATCATTAATATTTTTCATTTCAATCTTTTGTCAGATAAATAGCAGGTCAAGATTTCTGTTGTCTCTTCATTCTATTGACTACTTTTTGCATTGCAGATCCTTTTTAGTATAATGAGGTTCCATTTGCCCATGCTTGGCCTTATGACCAAAAGCTAAATATAATTTTCTCTATTCATCAAGGAATCTTCTCTCTG